GGCAGCTCCTGCCCCAGAAGGTGTGGTCATCTCTGGCTGATTCCCACAGCGTTGGGTTCTTGTCTTTTTAACAGAAGCTTAAGCATGCTCAAATCATTCCCTCTTTTCTCTGCAACTTGCAATTGGGGTCCTGTTGAGGTGATGCGAACTGGTGGTTGTAGGGTAGAAAAGGCAGGGTATAGGTGTTGCCAAGGGCAGGACATGTTCCCTTATGGTTTAGGGGATGAAATGCACAGCTGCATGTAGATTCTGTTGGCAGCTGAGTCCCAGGGAGGTTATATATGTTATCTGGTATTCCCAGGCTACAAGGTGCTTGAGCATGGTGTCAAAATGTGGTGAAGACAGCGTTGTGCCACAGGTGATGGGTAGTCACGCTGGTGAACACAAAGGGCGGGAGCTTGCTCAAGGATCATGGTGTGTAGAAGTGGGGGATGTCAGCAGTGCTTGAGGATGCTTTGGCTGCGTGTAGTAACTGTAATAAAGTGATGGTTTGTTATGTTGTGCCCATGCACGAACTTGAGTTGGAAGGGGATGGGTGGGGCTGTGCAGATGCTGACACTCTAGAGAACAAAACTGTGTCCAGGTTTAGCTAGAGTTGGGGGGGTACTGCCTTTCGAAGCTTCAGGTTTAACTTGTGGTTTGTGAAGGCTGTGGGTGAGATAACAACAAAGCAACCTTGTCAAAGGGGATCTTAGCAGGCAGGGAGGGACAGGGGCTGTGCAAGTCCTGGATGTTATTTTCCTTGGGGATGTGCTGACACCTGAACTACTGGAGTAGTTTGGCTTTACCAGTATGAAGGTTGTGTGGAGTTTTGTGGGAGGAGGAAGACCAGAGGGCTGTCAGCATTTTGGAGGGGATGGGGACATTCATTGTGTGGGAAACACAGCAGCTGAGGGCATATGGGCTGGGAAAATCTCAGGAAAGAGCCCTAGCCTCAGCTGTGTTCCTCAAGTCTTTCACATTGCTGTTGTGGCACTCTGCCACCCAGCTGTGATTCTAAAGCTGCCTGGAGGGCAGAATAAAGGTGACCTGGCACTGCGTGGCCTGGCAGGAAGCAGAGGTGCAAACATACTGACCTCTCTCAGTGAGCAAGCTGGGGCTGCCCGTGGGGTTCTTGCTGCCCACAGGCTGGAGGCACGGAGGTGCTGGGGCTTGGTCCATGTCCTCTAGCAGACACTGTGCTCTCTGGCCAAACTGCTCTTTCTGTCTGATCAACAGCTCTGGCTGCATCTTGCGCCTTTGGGTCTTGTCTCTTCCGTGGCAGACAGTGCAAAAGAGCCCCGATAGAGGATAACCTATCTAGGATGTTACCGAGGAAAGCAGTGAATTCTCTTGCTCTCATGTTACAGACAAGGACTTGGATATCTTTTGGGGACATGATGTGCTCAGAGGTAGCTGAGGGGAAATTGGTGTCCTGAAAACAATCCAGGAGATTGAGTTAGGTAATTTAATGGTTCCCCAGCCTTTAAACTCTACTGTGGGAGCACATCTGGTGTTACTTATCAGGGCTTAAGGAGGACCAATGTTAGATCACCAGTGATGTCTGATTGCTATTCAAACCAAAGTTGGTGTGTTCCGTTTGGTTTAAGCTCCAGTTCTTGCTGCCAGGTAAGGGAGAGCTTGGAAACAGGTTCAGAATATTGTGGCTCACACACTGGAACTGTGTTGCCATACAAAGGCTCCAAAGCCACTTATTACACTGCCTGTAGATAGCAGGGGTGCTTGGGCAGGCTCTCCTTCTAGGAAAGGGAAGCAAGACAGATAATGGAAAACTGGATCTTAAGCTTTCTTGTCATCACCTCCTCTGCTTACACAAGTGACTTTCTCAATAAAGCAGCTGTTTCATAGGAGCTTTGGGAAAGGATAAGGGAAGCTTTCCAGCTAGTAACAATACCTCATGATAGAAGTTGTAAGGACATAGTTACAGTATAAATAAGGGAAAATAGTTGTAGCTGTAAAAGCATTTAAACAAAGAGGTGGGAGGGAAAGTTGCCCATCTGGGAAAGCGCAGGGCCTTGGCCAGTGCTTTGTCACAGTGGGAAGCTAAAGATCAGTGTCTAGAGACCTACTCCTTGAGCGTGCAAGAAACTATCTGTAGGAATGGCTCCAGTGGAAAGATGTCACTTCCCATCCTTGACTGGGGTAGAGCTCTTGAGAAATAGCCCAGCCTCTTTTGTGGTGCATCCAAGTGGTTTCCTCTGCTGAAATTCACAGGCTGCAGACAAGCTGAGCCAGACTTGTGTTAATACCAGCTTTGAGTTATCCTTTCTCCATTACTAGCAAAGCTTGGATTTGAATGACTGACAGAGCAGCCTGTGCAGCTCTCCTGAACCAACAGCTCCTGGATCAATATATGGAACAAGCAGATTACTAATTCCTGGAGAGTTAAACTGGCTTTGCTCTGACTAGGAACAGAGGGACAGGAGCTCTAGTAATGGCGTAGATTCCCTGTGGGCATAAAAAGTTCTCAACCCCTAAAGAATGAAATAATTTGACAGTAACTGTAATGTAATGGTTTTGGCTCCTGACCTCTTCTACCAGCATGAAGGGACAGCTGAGCTAGCGCTATACACAGTGCTCTCAATTTAGACCTGAATGGAGCCTGTTTGGGATCTAATTGAACATCAGAAAACACAACCTAAGCATTAGAGAAGACTTGACTTTAGAATTCAGTAGGGTTTATTCTACAAATCTTAGATCAATGCCAATGATACAAGTTTTATGAATTCTCATTAAAAATACAAGTCAGTATAAAGATTCCAATAGTAATATAATGCATGATGACTCAGTTTCAAAACTTAAGGAATGAATCTGGGTTTTGGACCATGCTACAGAAAAGGGGAACGCAATGTAGAAGAAAGAATATTTAGTTTACCTCCCTTACTTTAGGAGGGGCCTGTGCCTTATTGCCACAATACCTGAAAAAGCAATATGAAGTGCATAGCAGCCTTGCCTGTACAGTCTCTAGGCAAAACTGTTGAATTTAGTATCATAGTTCTCTCCCCCCCCGCCAGTTCTGTTAATTAAGGTACATTTTGATAGCCTGATATCACTATAATAATTTAAAGCTATTGCAACACCACCCCCCATAACAATTATAAACAACAGTCCTTTGACTGCAAAATGTTCTTGTGATGCACGGAAACTTTTCCACTGTGCTAAACCATTTTGCCCAGTGTTTCCAGGAACACTAAATACTGATTCAAATCAAAGGTGAATTAGTTCCATATTCAAAACTCTCCTGTCTATGATTTTTTTTAATGAAGGCTCAGTGCAGTCTAATACTCAAATGTGTTGTTCATAGCTTCAGGCACAGTTAGAATATAAATCAGACATATTTTCTTGAACCTAGCCCTCTGATATGATGAAAGGTGTTACAGCTTTCACTGAACAGTTGAAATTTGGCCACGGAATTGCTAGATGAACTGCTTTGGAGTGGGGGAGAACAAAACTACCCTTTCTTTCTTGGAGCTGCCTGCACTTACAAGAGGATTAGGCTTAATAAAGCCATACCCTAAGCCTAAATTTTAGAGAAGCAGTTTGTTTATCACAAGAGGTAACTTTTGACAAGATATGCACCTCATCCCCCAAATGCTGTACGTACATCTGTTTATTCCTAGTGATGTTTTCACCCTGTCAAAAATAATGGGCATCTCTTTTGTTGAGCCCAGTCATTTCTTGTAGCAGAACCACATAAACATCACAGAGCAGGTATCATGCATCTATCTGCAAAGCAGACAGGGAAACTAGGCTTAACAATATGCATACATTTCCAAACAATTCCAACAGAATTTTGGTGCAGACAGTGACATTTAACTGAAACTCAGCTTTTACCAAAATATTAGCATAATACAAAAATCCAAAAACACTGGGTAAAAAGAAGCTGCTGACTTCCACGTGTCAGTTAAAGAAAAAAACCCTCTTGCATAAATGGAGCAGCAGCACAGAACACGCACAGACTTGGCTATACAAATACATCTTTTTTTCTGTAAGAATTTGCAAGAATTCTCCACCCAACATCATAGTATCATGTTTTAGCATCATATCGATGGTGACAAAACCTAGTATTAAGCCATCATGCAGGCTGATGGGAACTTCTTCTGCTGTACCGAACACTGCTGTGCTTGCTTTGAATATGTATTGTCACTCTGATTTGTCTTTGTAGTAAATGCATCTTTTAACAGTCGCATTTAGTCAGAAGTAAAAAAGTTCGGTAGCCCATACTGGGCTTTAGTACAGTCAAGATGACAACAAAATACAAGGATGTCATTAAACTGCATATACTATAGAAAACTGGTTTACTTTGCATTTAAGTCACGTTTAATACAAGACAAGTTGGTCTGAAACTGTGAACTGATTCTATTTGGAACAAAGTATGGCACAGATTCCCAATATCTCTGGATACTGTGTAAATAACACATTTTTCTCTTTGCAATGATTATCAATTCGCCAAAAATAGTGTAACAGTCAAAAGGGAAGAGTGAAGGAAAAGATTTAGGAGAAGAAATAAAAAAATGTCTGAGAATTGAAAATAAATGACTTCTTTTGTAAGAAACTTTATTTAACTTCATTTTTAAAAATGTGTTCTCTCCTCAGAACAAATGCCACTGCAAAAAAAAAATTGCAGTAGCACACACTTGCACTCAAAGGAAAACATGCAAAACTGATGGCTGAAAAAAATTCTGCATAAAAATCCAAGACTTCAGGCAAAAGTTTGCCCCCATGTGCCTTTAGGGACCCCAGACCATAAACAGCTTTCAGTGCAATGTCTCTGCTTCCAATTAGTGGGGAAACATGGCAGAAGCTTGTCTTCCAGCAGTTACGCTCTCCCAGGTGTCTGAAGCAAAAACAGTCTCAGCTGTATTTTAAAATATCGTTGTTTAACTGTTGCAGAAAGTACAAACAGAATTCAATAAAATGTCAGAATCCAGTGAAGAAAAACTTTTGAGTTCTACCCTGTGCCATACACTTCTTAAAAAAAAATTAGACAGAAAAACAGATTTTTATTAATACACCCTCTTTAGATTTTTTTTTATTTCTGAAAGCAGCTCTTTATGCAAATCAAAAGCAGTTCCTGAGTAACTGCAGTAAACAGTGTCTTTTAAATATTTTTGCGCCTCAGCTCTTCTGTTTTGGTTCTTCCTTGTTTTTTCTCCCTAGTTTTCAAGTTTAATCTCAGTTCTTTTTCAAAAATGTGCAAGTTCAGTTAACATCGTTTCCAGAAGTCCACAGCTTGCAGGTCTTCCTGCAACAACTATAAGATCTGCACATATGCTAGGTTGTACTCCTATACCTATTGCAGATGTTGCTCTCAAACCTGTACAGCATGCATTTTCACGTCTTCTTCAGCATACGCCGGGACTGCCATGTGTGGAACTTATTGTAGGCCGTCTGCAGCATCTCTTCTATGTGACTTACCAACTGAAACATTAAGAGGGGAAAAAAGATGTCCCAGCTACTGGAAAACAGATCCCCTCCCCTCCCTTTGATAAGACACTCAGTTGGAATCTTCCTTTTATTTACTAAGACTGATCTCGTTAAAATCAGAGGTATGCCAAATATAGAGAAAGGACCTTGAGGCTCTACTGCAAAGTATCTGTAGAGGGAGCACTTCAGGAGCTATGAAGCTGAGAAGGTCACAGGGAAGTGACACTTGATTGTGCTGTCTGTTCCAGTATTTAGCCTGTGACCAAGTCTGACATGGCAGGAGACAGTTTTGAAGCCACTAAAGTTCTACTTCATGGTGGAAGTGAAAAATGAAAGATGACTTCCCCTTTCTGTTGTCTCACTTGGGTAACTTCCAATTATAGTTCTTGATGGTTTCTGGCATTACTCAGCAAGTTATACAGGGAGTGAAGACATGCTTAACTGTGTTCCCAACCTCCCTCTGCCCATTTCCTGGTTAACAAAAAAACTTCAAATGCCCTAGGGTAAGAGGTAACAAAGCTACCATCCTCTGATAAGTATGATTCAAATTATTAATATGCACCCATAAAATTAAAGAATATTTTCCCCTTACATTTGTGCTTAAATACTGTCTCCGAATCTTTTCTTGGAATGGGCAGAGCTTTGTAACCTGAAATCTTTCCAAGTTGCTCCTCATTTTCACAACCTGAGAGAGAGACAGAAACCAGTATTATAATCACTTGCACCAAAATTTCATTTCCTTTAACAACTTTTTCTCCAACAAAACACCTTGTAACTAGTTCTGGGGGCTACTTTAAGTATGTGTAGTTTGAGGAAGAAAAGTATCAGTTACAATCATATACCTGGTTGTAGACAGATGTCTCTTCTTGAAGGCAACTTTGTTCTAAAAAGTAGTGCATGTTTTGAAGCTGTGACCGAGTGATTTTTGCAATGGATAGAAGAATGAGGAAAACTTTATTGTAACTGTCACTGTGGAGGTTATGTCTTAGAGTTGGGGAAGGGGACGGCTTTAGTTTGTGTTTTAAACTGGCAGTGAGAAATCTGCAGCTGGAATATAGCTGACCATTCTGTCTGAAACTTGCTTACAGCAGCTCCTCCCAAAGGGGGCTAACAGGCATGCAGCAACAAGGATGACTTTAACCAATAGCACCAGCAGAACTGCTGAAAAAAGTAATGTTTTACATTGTTTTGTGATGTTCAGTTCTAAGGATAAGTGCTGCACTGATTTAAAGCATGTGTATTGGTTCTGTACTTCAAATTAATGACAGTCATTCTAAACCATGCTCTGGCCACGTCGTAACCAGGGCCACGATACTCCTTACCTTTTCTTCTAGGAATGGTGTGTTAACAGGAAAGCAGGACCAGAAGTGTCGTAGCAGTTCCCCTACTGCCACGTACAAGTGTTTTAGTTCACACTGAACGTCATTTGGCACCATCTCTGCAACAGGAGAAAAGATTTTGTCACATCACTCCAAATTGTCATATGAAAAATGAGAATGTAAGGCTAGAAAAGGAGTTCAGCAATATACATTTCTACTAGAATCACAGAAAAGTTGGGTGGGAGGGAACACTGAGGTGCTTCACACCTGAAGTAGGACCATCAGCAGTATTAGATCAGGTCAGCTGCTATTTACTGCTACATCCTTGGAAGCTTGTATATTATATAGGGACATCTATGCCAGGTAAAGAACAGACACCAAACCTAATCCAGGATTAGAAGCAGTATATTTGTATTGTTCTACCAGTGTGGCAGCACTGCCTCTGGGACCAGCACCTTGGTCTCTCCACAGCACAGTGCTAAACACTGTGCGGTGGATACTGCAAGCTTTTCCCTCTCTCTTGTATTGGCAATGAGAATATGGTCACAGCATGAGGAAGATGAAAAATCCAGGCATACTCTTAAAAAATCCCAGGTAGTCTTAAGGATGAAAGGGCGACAGGGTTCAAGAACATGGAAGGAACGACAGTCATAAAAACCAAAGACAAAAAGCACAAGTAGTCATTGAGGATGACAGGAGTGCAGTGAACTGAACAGTGAATAGCAAACTCTAGGATGAGGTTGTTTGGTTTTTTGTTTTTTTTTTTTTTAAAAAAAAAAAAGGTGGTCAGGCTCAAAGAAGTGGACTGTAGGACCAGTCTGCCAACTGGGATAAGTAAGAAAGCCTAACTACTGCTTTGCTGACTCCTTTTCTTTCGGTATCGTAAAGAATTTGTACTTGCTTCTTCAGCTGTCTGAATTAGTTTCTGCTGCTTTTCAGACCAGGTAACACAAGATAAACTGGAAAACTGTAATAAACCCTCCCTTGTGAGAACAGGGATTCATCTGCTGTGAGACTAAAGACAAAGGAACTCAAACTGGCAGAAATGTGACAACAGGGAAAAGGGTGATTGAATGGAGATGTAAGAAGAAGGGGTTGTCTGTTTTGTCCTTGCAGTCTACAAGAAAGTCGTCCTCTTTCATAACAAGTTGTGGATCTTAAATGCAGGCTGCAAAAAAACTAGTTCCAAACAATTATGTAGACCTCGCCTCCTTAGAGCTTTCCCAGAGTATGCCTTTATTTTCAAAAATCCAGGGGAAAAAAAATCAGAAAAGAGAAATGCTGAACAAGCAAAACCCATTATCTGTAAGAGGACTTAGAATCAAGTGCTTCCTTCATCACTTGCTCTGTAAAGCTTTCATTCACTTGCCTCAGCACTGGTGTAGGCAGTACCACCCTCATGGTGTGGCTGGGTTGTTACTTTTGTTGCTGTAACCCAGTATTACTCCACCTACATATTTCCATAACTTCCTGTATCACTGTAACATATTCTAAGAGGGAGATGAAACAGCAAGCCAGGTACTGCTGTATAATGCAATAAGATATGATTAAAGTATTATACATCCTAAATCCTTACGGTTTATGGCTTGCTGTGTTCCACCCTGCATAAGTGCTCCTCCAGGTGACAGGACTGCTATAGTGCTAGTAGCATCACCACTTGAAAGAACCTAAAAAGGAGAGAGGGAACAGATATTTCAGATCACTTTTTCCAACAAAATCTTTTTAAAATAAGTTGTATTTGTACTCCAGTGGCAAAGATACAGGTGAGAGATACAATGGAAGTTCTGGTGAAGGGTCTGCTCTTTTCCAGAATTAGATACAGTGCCTTTAAGTGCTATAGCTCATGTCTTCAGTGAAAGCTTTCCCACTAATTACAGACAAACAAATCTTTTCTTTACCTAGTACGTGAACTGGCTGTGCTGCTACTTTGAAATGAGACAGAGAATTACTGTACTGAAAGGTGACACATTCACAGCTGCAGCTGCTTTACTTAGGGCCAAATCTTGGTTTACTAACAGAGGAAGTTCAGATAGTGACTGGGGAGATTGGCTACATGGCTATGCTGCCCTCCAGTTGCCAGGACAGAGCTGCTGTGCAGCCCACAGCAAGACTGACATCCTACCTAAGTGCATTTAGGAACAGAAGACCCATTCATTTATAAGCCTGCTTAGTATGACCTCCCAAGACCATTACATCTTAAATTTCAGGGAGTGGGATCCATAATATTGGCCTGTGCTTCATGTTGCATGACTGTCCTGCTTTACTACTTTATACCTTTACCACTTCCTCAAAAGAACATGGTAGCAGCAGAATATAACTCTGAATATCAGCAATGACTCTGTTTCCTGTTGCTTGGATTTTAAACACAATAGCTCAAAAGGTAAAACTGTAAAATAAACTGAGTAACATAAAACTACTGGAGATAATTTTTTATCCTGGAAAATTAAAATTCCAGTAGACATGAGAGACAAAATTATACAGAAAGCAACATGCTAGCATCAAGAAGGGACTATTTTTTTGAGTATTCTTCCATACCTGAGTTAGTTTGGGTACATAAGCTTCCATTTCTTGCCTAATACTATGAAAAGAATTAATTATATCCTGACTGGTTGCATATTGCTGTGATTGAATTGGAGTTGGACCATGATAATACCTATGAGATAAGAAAAGGAAAGAGAAAAGTATATAAATAGGAGTGTTGGTAAAACAGAGGTCAAACTCAGTGGACGGTTCTTCAAATGTTTCCAATTTTAGATGCTTTGCAACTCTTGATGCTACTATCTAAATCTTATTTATTGACAAAGTAAAATACATTGCCGCATGGGAAGAGGTTGAGTTAGGGATGGAACGGCAGCAAAATAAGAGCTTCTATTGTTGAATCCAGGAGTATTATTTTGCTAATGAAATACTATCTGTGCCACCTAGTTCTGGCAATATCATTAGAATGGAGGACTTCACACCACTTTCAATTGAAACTAAGCTAAATGAAGTTAGGTGTATATTTGGAACCGTTCGCTTTGTTGTGGTACCACTCCTTTTCTGAAGTTACATCTATGGTTCTCAAACTCAGAAGTCTAGAAAACAAGAGGACTATTGCTAGAAAACCTAGACCAGTGAGTCCAAACTACCCTGACCACGCTTTTTTGCCTGGCAGTGGACTTTCCTTGGAATTGTATATATTTCACATGCAACACATGCATTTTTCCACTGTAAGCTGCAACAAAGTGCTGAACTGTGAATACAAGTCTGTTAGACCTTCACAGAAATTACATGTCAAAATGCTTCAAGTAGGTTTACAGAGACTCAAATTGCTGAAAATCAAGATGAAATCAAAATAGAGATTTAAATGGGAATTATTTGGAAGTTGGTTTATGCAGTTCATATTAGGTTTCTAAACTTAGTCTAAACACACTTGAGTGTGGCACAGTAGAGACTAAATCAGCTGATTCTGTGCAGGCTGTAATGAGAAACTTGCTAGATTGACTATGTTGAAATAGCTGTCTGTATTTTGTTAACTTACCTATCAGACTTCTTCAAGTTTAGTGCAATAGTTTTAATGCTATTATTCTTTGCTAAATCTTCATATTCAATGGACTCCTGCAGTTTCACCTAAAATAAGCCAAATAATTACACACATTACTAATGAGGACACAATTTGATGCATCTAGTGCTTTTTTCCAGTTTGCTGAGTTTGAGCAAAAGGGTTACTAAAACCTTAAAAAAAAAAAAAGTGTAGAATGGTTTGTGTCTACCCTCCAGAGGGAGCAGTGCCCAATATTCTTTAAAGTGTGCGATTTGGAAGTCTTGGCACTACCACTTCTTCTGCAGATTCTGCCCAAAACTTACAGTCCCTGCCACTTCTAAGTGCTCTGCTATACAGAGATCATTCTTTGTGCTCTCTATTAACATCCATCTATCTCCAGATTAGCAGAAATAGTAATGATGGCATACAAAAGTGTAAGACTAAAACCATAATAATTACCCAAGCTATCTGGTGACAGTAGAGCTAGAGCATTAGTGGTGAGAGATAACAGCACAGTGATATCAGGCTTTGTACAATGAGAAAACTACTTTTGAAGTCTCCTACTTTCATGCTCCTCTTTCACTCCTTTTCATCACATTTATTCTAGTCCTGGTATATTGTTTACCCCACATTAAAATTGCAGCTTTCAGGAAAGCCAAAGCTGTTGACTACCTCAACATTTAACAACAGATGTATTCTACAACCTTTTCTCACAATATATGCAGGTTTTGAGTCCACTTGGCATTTTCTATTTAGGCTGTCAACTCTAGCAAGAGTATTCAATTCAGTTTTGTAGTAATTACAGTACTCTTTTTTTACTTCATGAGCTGCTATGGTTAGTCTGAAATAGAGGGCAACAGCCTGTTTCAGTGCACCAGGCGTCCCTATGCTTTCAGTTTAACCTCACGTCAGCTTCTGACCTTAAGATGAAGGCTGCCATGTCCCAGTTAATCATCCCCCTACAAACAACACGCTTAATAGGTTAATATTGGTGCTTGCACACCAATATCCCTTTCAGATGGATGTTCTCTAGAAGTTTTCAGGCATTTGGGGGAAAGAAAAAAAGAGGGGGGAAGGGCAAAAACAGAACTGCACTGAATTGAAAGAACCAGATTTCTGGGTCCAATCATAAGCGTGTTGGAATTTTTTTACTTTTGTTCAGCACTACTGAAGAGGTAAACGGAGCAATACTTCAAGATGCGATTTGTGTTTACTAACAGTGGTAAAAAGCTTTTACAGGCCCTCAGGTTCTTACTCTATATACTTCTAAGCAAAGCTAAATAAGTATCACTCTAGATGCATCATACAACAAGTAAGGAACCTTCAGCAATCTTTTCAGAGACAGAGTTTCCAGTTCCACTCAATTAGAATTGCATCAGCTAACTTTATACCTTTTTCATTGGTGGCTGAAAGAAATCTGAATCCCTGGAGTTTCCATCCGTACTGCTGGTCTCACTGTAATGGTCATTTTGTGCTTCTCTTAAAATAGAGAAACAGCATTAAGAAGAATTCACCTCACAGGAAACTTAAGATACAAGCTAGAGACAAAGTAAATACATGTTTCAAAAAATTTATATGCATGTTCACATACTGTATATCAACTCTTTTCCCCTTATGTCTTCACTTCTAGAAGTTGATCTAAATAGAAGGAACCAACTCCTCAAATAACCCTGTTTGTCAAGGGGGAAATTCAACAGCAGGGAGGGTGCTTCTCCCTCTTTTCAGAAAGAGTAGCATGCCAACAACGCAAGTGGGACACAGCAAAATAATGACTAAATTAGAAATGCTTTGCACACACGCTTATGCCAACCAGGTATTAGCAGAGCTATGGGAGCCCTGAGATACTACTATTTCACAACGAGAGCTATCGTTTTGTCTCTTTCTGAACTGAGAAATGGAAACACACATTACCCAGAAAAGATCATTTAAGGTCCATTGTTCAATTTGTGCAAAACAGAAGAACGACATGAGGGAGCACAGCTACACAGAGGAAAGTCTTTAATTAAGATCTCTCACAGGTAAGGTCTGTAGGATTTGGGTAGAGTAGTAATGCTTTGGTGGTTGTCTATAAAGCAGTTGTAAAGCAGACTTCACATCAAACCCATTTCATGCCTCTCTTAAGAAGCTTCATTTGTGAAGTTCACTGTAAACACATGTAACCAGCTGAGACTTTTTTTTTTGTTCAGGGGCAGGGTACTGCACTAGAGGGATCTTTCCTCTGATCCACCCATGCCACACTGTTCTTTTGCTTCCTCGTTTACTTGTGTCCATGCACCCCCCAGCAGACCTGCTCCTGGAAGGCAAGAGATAGGAACTCCCTGCACCAGACATCCCCTCCACACAGCAAACAGAATACTACTTGTGCAGCCTTCACCAGGGCTAGAGAACTAAGGGCAGAAGCATCCTTTCCTTTTTTTATCTGCTTTGTATGATAACTCAGGTAAAAATAGCATTTGTCATCTCAGCTCTGAAGAACTTTTATAAAGTAAAATGGAACCTAAAGGTATTTTCTTTTCTAGAGCAAAATACGTCAGTCACAAAAATTAAAAGAAAAGGTTGGGTGAGTAATTGAAGATGTATTTTCCTTTTGGAAATTCCTTAAAATTTGTTACAAAAAAAGCTTTTACACAACATTGAAACTTACTGTTTCCTGAGGCCAGCTGCAAGGACCATGGCACTATGATGATTAAAGCGTTTTATAATGGCAGCATTGCTACTTTCTCGAGCAGATTTTGAGGCATTTGATGTAGAGGCCACAGAAGCAACACCATAGCCCTACAAAGAAAACAACATTAGCTATATCCTACCCCAAAAGCAGACGGATGATTCTGTTTTCCATTGTCAGGATGCATGCAAGCCACCTCCTCTGAACTTTACTAAGTGCTACTGCATCATCGTCTCAAACAGTATTTTCCTACCTTTCCCCCACAATCACCTTTTGTACTTTGAAAAATCTCCACAGACTAATTTATTCTGCTAGCACTTGGCAGTTGAGGTGTCTGAGAGAAGAAAAAAATTCTTAAACACATAGTTTTGTAAGACCACAATGTGTTATAAGCTTAAAAAAAAATTAAGAATCATCTGTACGAAACACAGGCATGGATGGCAAGGAGAAGAGCTAGCAATTGTTTTACTGACCTCTTTTCAACATCTTGTGGGACACCAGCAGCCCACAGGCTAAATGACACCTGTTGGGAGGATGCAATACCCCTAGGAATTGAAAAACAACCTCAAGCCTTAATGTAGGCAGTGTTCCCCAGTTACCACATGGCTGAAGGCAAATCACTTTAGAATCACAGAATGGTTTGGGTTGAAAGGAACCCCAAATATCATCTAGTTCCAACCCCCCCTGCCATGGGCAGGGACACCTTCCACTAGACCAGGTTGCTCAAAGCCCCATCCAACCTGGCCTTGAACACTTCCAGGGATGGGGCATCCACAGCTTCTCTGGGCAACCTGTTCCAGTGCCTCACCACCCTCACAGTGAAGAACTTTTTCCTTATATCTAATCTAAATTTGTCCTCTTTCAGTTTAAAGCTATTACCCCTTATCCTATCACTACATGCCCTTGTAAACAGTCCCTCCCCATTTTTCCTGTAGGCCCCCTTTAAGTACTGGAAGGCTGCTGTAAGGCCTCCCTGGAGCCTTCTCTTCTCCAGGCTGAACAACCCCAACTCTCTCAGCCTGTCCTCATAGGAGAGGTGCTCCATTGCTCTGATCCATCTTCACGGCCCTCCTCTGGACCTGCTCCAGTAGGTCCATGTGTGTCTTGTACTGGGGCCCCCAGAGCTGGATGCAGTACTCCAGGTGGGGCTCACCAGAGTGGAGTGGAGGGGCAGGATCACCTCCCTCAACCTGCTGGTCACACTTTTGATGCAGCCCAGGACACGGTTGGCTTTCTGGGCTGCAAGTGCACACTGCTGGCTCATGTTGAGCTTCTTGTCCACCAACACGCCCAAGTCCTTCTCAGGGCTATTCTCAATCCCTTCATCCCCCAGCCTACCTTGACACTGGGGGTTGCTGTGAGCCAGGTACAGGACCTTGTACTTGGCCTTGTTGAACTTCATGAGATTCGCACAGGCCCACCTCTTCACCCATGCTCAGTTTCATACTTGCAGTTAACTGGTCTCAAAAGCAAACTAGGGCAGTTTGCATAGCACTTCAAACACACCTACCCCTAAACTCCTAGTCCCGTTTCAGACTGTTACCTTTGTACAACTCAAAACCCCAAACAACAAAACAAAACTTAGAAATGTGGCATCATTATTAATTACAACTCAAAAGTTTAAGTTAAATCAACTGCAGAAAAGCGCATTTTTAAGTTATTTCATGTTATGGTACACCATTTATAACAATTGTTTTAATTTGTACTTGGAGGCAGGTAATAGTTCAAGTTAGTGATATTTTTAGCAAAACATAGTATTTAGAGCTAAACAAAGAAAACTGTGCAAAATGTCCTTAAAATTAAGCTGAATCAAATAATGTTTGAAGTGAGAACAAATGCAAAGACTTTTTCCTTTTTTCTGCTACTCTTCTGTACATTGTCACAGCTTCTAAAAGGTAGGAAAAAACCAGAGAGCCCACTTCACACAAAAAAGCAATCTAAGTGAAATAATAATGCTTTAAAAAAAAGGGAAGTCCTGCTTTTACAGCCAGCACAAAGGCAGACATCTGAGGCATATAGGTCTAGGGGCACAATCTCCATTTCTTTACACACATGCAACTGTATAAATGTTGACTGCCCAATCATTACAGCAGCCTTGTAAGTGACACCTTTTAGAATTAGCATTTGTAGTTGCTGTAACTGACTTTCTCCTTAAATGAAACTGGGGGGTGGGGTGTGTGGTTTGTGGGTTGGGTTTTTTGTTTTGTTTTTTTGCCAACTACTTACTTCATCTAATGTTTTATCTTCCAAAGCTGTTAAATCTATCAGAGGGTTTTTTACTCCTTGAGACACCATTGTTTTTAACCCTGTATAAAACAAATTAAAAAAAACACATGAGAAACTGTATCTAAACAAATAGGAATAATTGTGGGATTATTAGATTATATTTAATCTTTAAAAAGAGAAGATAAAGGATCTGCAGATGCCCAGGTATCACTGTGACTAAAACTTTCAACCCTTTTCAAAAGTCCATTTAAAATAAGCAATAAACTTGTAAAGATCATCCTACTAATTAGCACAGTTTTCATCAACTTCTACATCTATTCTACTGAGTACTGTTTGGTAAAAAAAAAAATAATAAAAATTTTGTTATATTAGTTGTATTAGTGAGAACTGGGAAACCTTAGTTATGTGTTTCTTCTAATTTTGGCACTGTTTTGCTGTCTGGTCTTGAGTAGAATGATGACTTGTATCTGGTGATAGCTTTTACTTGTGAAGGTTTGTGGATTCCTAATAGAATGCTTTCATTAGTCAGCATGCGTATTAAGGAATGGTGTTAAGTGATCTCAACTCTCCATATGTCTGTATCATCACAAACTTATCTCAAAAGTTCAATAAAAACTTCAGTCAGATATTTTAAGATTTCACATTAAAAAGGCTGACAGAGAACAGGGATGGCAACTGCTCTGGAAAATCTTAAACAGGATCCATATTTTTCTGTTCCTAAAAACTGATATATAACAAAAGCTATACCTGTTGTAAAGTGTGTGAATACCACAAAATGAAGCCTTATGTAAACAAAATTATTCCACAGTAACTGATGGCAGAGCATAATCAATCTAGCATGACACCACATTATGGAATTTAGCACAGATTTACTGTTGCATGAGTTGTAATAAAGATTATTCCTAGTGCTACCGCTTTCCAAAGGCTTTTCCAATTTGTTTCAAGAAATGCACTATCAAACATGCTAAGAATAGCAAAGCTATCACTAACTTTCAGTGACAATCTGTAGCTTTCACTTTAAGAGTCTGACAAACAAGATGCCCAGTAAACGAACATAAGAAAATTTTTGACTTCAGCTTTGTTAGGTTTACTAGATACACCTCGAGTGTTGTGCTCTGTGATA